CATCGGAGAACGCTTCTTGGGCGCTTCTTGGGCCGTCTTAGGCGCCTAAGACAGCCCAAGAAGCGGCCAAGACGGCGCCCAAGACGGCCCAAGAAGCGCCCAAGACGGCCCAAGAGCGCTCCAAGAGAGCCCAAGACCGCCCAAGGAGGCCCCAAGACGTCCCAAGAGGCCTCTACGACGCCCCAGGAGGCGCCCACGAGGCGTCCCAAGAGGGCCCCAAGAGGGCAAAATCATTGATTTTCTCTTAGGGAAAACGTGCATTTCTAGCATATACGGCTTTTCGCCTTTCATGGCGTTGAAGACGGTCCAAGAGGCCCCCAAGACCGCCCCAAGACGGTCCAAGATGTTTCCAAAAGGCCCCCAAATTACGCTACCGAGGAACCCCACATACTGATGTTTAATCTTATGTGTTTGCTTGTCATTATCATCTATGCGCAATGCTGCGTTCTAAACCCTCGTCGCGAATCGTCGTCGTACTTGTCGTACTCGTTGTCGTACTCGTCGTACTCGTCGTCGTACTCGTTGCCGCTCTATCGTCTTACTCGTCATCGTACTCGTCGTCGTACCTCGCCGTCGTACTCGTTTCCGCACAGATCGATCCAGCACGCCACACCCAAGGCGGTCGAACAAGTCAGGTCGGTCGAGCACGAGACACCTAAGGCGGCCGAGCACGGACAAGCCAGGTCGGCCTCCTGGAGAGGAGGTATAGGGCAAGGAGGAGGAGGAAGAAGAGGAAAGAAGGGAGGAGGACCATCGTGCATAGCGGCCGAGCTCAGGGACCACCTCCTGCGCCCCCCTCTGGTGTCGAGAAAGTGCCACGCCTGCTGTGCCTGGACGACCGTCGTGCATAGCGGCCGCGCTCAGGGACCACCCCTGCGCACCCCCCCTGGTGTCGAGAAAGTGCAACGCCTGCTATGCCTGGACGACCGGCGCGTATAGCGCCGCGCTCAGGGACCACCCCCTGCGCCCCCCTCTGGTGTCGAGAAAGTGCCACGCCTGCTGTGCCTGGACGACCGTCGCGCATAGCGGCCGAGCTCAGGGACCACCCCCTGCGCACCCCCTCTGGTGTCGAGAAAGTGCCACGCCTGCTATGCCTGGACGACCGGCGCGTATAGCAGCCGCGCGCTCAGGGACCACCCCCTGCGCACCCCGTCTGGCGTCGAGAAAGTGCCACGCCTGCTATGCCTGGACCACCGGCGCGTATAGCAGCCGCGCTCGGGGACCACCCCCTGCGCACCCCCTATGGTGTCGAGAAAGTGCCACGCCTGCTATGCCTGGACAACTGGCACGGATAGCGGCCGCGCTCAGGGACCACCCCCTGCGCACCCCCTTATGGTGTCGAGAAAGTGCCACGCCTGCTATGCCTGGACGACTGGCACGGATAGCGGCCGCGCTCAGGGACCACGCCCTGCGCACCCCCTGTGGTGTCGAGAAAGTGCCACGCCTGCCATGCATGGACGACTGGCACGGATAGCGGCCGCGCTCAGGGACCACCCCCTGCGCACCCCCTATGGTGTCTAGAAAGTGCCACGCCTGCTATGCCTGGGCGACTGGCTCGGATAGCGGTCGCGTTCAGGGACCACCCCCTTGCGCACCCCTGATGGTGTCGAGAAAGTGCCACGCCTGCTATGCCTGGACGACGGGCGTATAGAAGACCGCAGGGAGAGAACCACCCCTGCGCACCCCCTCTGGTGTCGAGAAAGTGCCACGCATGCTATTGCCTGGACGACCGGCGCGTATAGAGACGCCAGCGATGAGACACACCCTGCGCACCCTTGGTGTCGAGAAAGTGCCACGCCTGCTATGCCAGGACGACGGGCGTATATAGAGACCGCAGCGAGGAGACCACCCCCGTGCTTGGCCACCCCTCTGGGTCGAGAAAGTGCCACGCCTGCTAGGCCTGGACGAAACGGCGGTATAGAAGACCGCAGCGAGCGACCACCCCCTGCGAAACACCCTATGCTGTCGAGAAAAGCAACGCATTGCTCATGCCGTCGTCGGACCGGCGCGTATAGAGACCGCAGCGAGAGAACACCCCCTGCGCACCCCCTATGGTGTCGAGAAAGTGCCACGCCTGCTATGCCTGGACGACCGGCGCGTATAGAGACCGCAGCGAGAGACCACCCCCTGCGCACCCCCTATGGTGTCGAGAAAGTGACACGCCTGCTATGCCTGGACGACCGGCGCGTATAGAGACCGCAGCGAGAGACCACCCCCTGCGCACCCCCTATGGTGTCGAGAAAGTGCCACGCCTGCTATGCCTGGACGACCGGCGCGTATAGAGACCGCAGCGAGAGACCACCCCCTGCGCACGTGTCGAGAAAGTGCCACGCCTGCTGTGGCTGAACGACCGGCGCGTGTAGAGACTGCAGCGAGAGACCACCCCCTGCGCACCCCCTATGGTGTCGAGAAAGTGCCACGCCTGCTATGCCTGGACGACCGGCGCGTATAGAGACCGAGGCGAGAGACCACCCCCTGCGCACCCCCTATGGTGTCGAGAAAGTGCCACGCCTGCTATGCCTGGACGACCGGCGCGTATAGAGACCGCAGCGACAAACCACCCCCTGCGCACCCCCTATGGTGTCGAGAAAGTGCCACGCCTGCTATGCCAAGACGACTGGGGCCACGCCTGCTATAGCAGGACGACTGGGGCGTATAGAGACCGCAGCGAGAGACCACCCCCTGCGCCCCCCCTATGGTGTCGAGAAAGTGCCACGCCTGCTATGCCAGGACTGGTGTCGTCTTGTGTGTGCGAGTGTGTGCATGCGTGCGGCTGTATGTAGACGCGTGTCGCCGAGACGTGCTGTGCTGTGCTCTGCTGAGCTGTGCTGTGCTGTCCTATGCTGTGCTGCGGTCTGCTGTGCTGTGCTGCGCTGTGCTGAGGAGGAGGAGGAGGAGGAGGAGGAGGAGGAGGAGGAGGAGGAGGAGGAGGAGGAGGACGAGGAGGGGAGGAGGGCGGGTGTGGGGGAGACGCGGGCGCGGCGCGGCAGGGAAGAAAACCAGAACCCCACGAAACATGTGGGGAAATAGCCCAAGAGGGCGCCAAGACGGGCCAAGAGGCGCCCAAGACTGTCCAAGAGGCCCCCAAGAGCGCCCCAAGAAGGCCCAAGAGGCCCCCAAGAGGGCCCCCAAACGGCCCAAGAGGGCGCCAAGACGGCCCAAGAGGCGCCAAGACGGCCCCAGGACGGCCCCAAGAAGGCCCCAAGAGGCCCCCAAGATAGCCCAAAGACGGCCAAAGGCAGCCTAGTCCCTACACCCCCGCAGCCCAGAAGCTCCCAGGAGGCCCCCAGAGGCCCCCGAAAAGCCCCCAAAGGTCCCCAAGAAGCACCCAAGAGGCCCCCCAAGACCCCCCCAAGAGGCCCATGATACTCCCAAAGGCTCTTAGCACCGCGGCTCCCAAGAGCGAGCGGTGACGTAATCGAGCTGATAAGACCAAAGCTCCCAACAGAGAGCTGCGGCGTAATCAATTCTTGACGCCAGGGCACAGGGACGGGCGGCAACGCGTGGACAACGAGCGGTCCACGCAAGGACAACGCGGGGTTCTGGAAAGCTGGCAGCCCAAACGCGGAAAACGCAACGCGACCCGACCGCCCCCTCCAAAACAAGAAACGCGCTCAAAGAAAGCTGCGCGACTCTCCGAGGCTGAGATAGGACAAGAGCGAGGGGAAGGGAGTCAATAAGAGGTGTAAGAGCGGACGAGCCAGCGATCTCGTGCGCTCTGAAAGTAAGTGCGCTTTCCGTCCCCGTGCCAAGCAGGTCGAATGGCCTTCGGCCCATCCCGCCACCGTGCCCGGGTTGCGGGTCAGAGTTCTCAGGGATGCTTCTTCGGGTCTCGTCGGAGCGCTCTCGGGGTTATCTTGGGAGCGATGAGGAGGCCTCTTTGGGACCTCTTGGGGCCTCTTGGGGGCCTCTTGGGGCCTCCTGGGGACCCCTCGGGGCCGAGGACTTGAAATGTCCGTTTGGGTTCCCCATTTGGGCCCCCTCTGGAGTCCGTCTTTGGGCCCTTGTGGGCCGTCTTTGGCGCCTCTCGGGCCGTCTTGGGAGCCTCTTGGGCCGTCGTGGAGCGTCGGGAAGCTGAAAAGGCGCGGACGCTGACATCCCAAATCAATGATGTTGGCCTCTTGGGGCCCTCTTGGGAGGTATCTTGAGCGTCTTGGAGCGATCGTTCGGCGATTCGGGGCCCTTACGGATTGTCTCGGGGGCCTTGTGGAGCCCTCTTGGCCCGTCTTGGGGCCCTCTTGGCTCTGGAAATGTCAAGCGAGGGGCCGCGCCAAGCCCCCGACATGCCGCGGCAGGCCCCGACAGACTTTAGAATTTGGGGTTGGGGTCCAGGGACTTGAGGACTCGCCCACTCCGTGCCCAGCGGCACGGTGGCAGATTAGATATAGATCCAGCGGTAGAGTGATTATTGTATAGCTTGATCGAGTAGTGATAAGACTCTATGAAAGAAGGGGGCACCCCCAGTCAGAGAAGCCAGCGTGCGGAGGGGGGGCGGCTCTCTGGGCGCTTCAAATGTTTTAAGGCCTCCTCCCCCCGTTCCGACGTGTCCAGTGATTTGTTCCAAGCAGGCGTCCACGCAACGCGTTCTCTCGAATGTTCACGCGCGTGCGCCGATGATCCTCCTTCTTCCTTCGAGGGATGAAAAAAAAGCCCCTATCCTGAGTTACAAGTGCGTGGTCTGTAAACCTGCTGGGAGCTCCCAAAGGCCAGAGTCCCGCTAGGACGCCGCGCGACACGCAGCGTTTACCCTGTCAGCCCACAGGAGGTTCGGCGCACAGCGCCTCGTAAACCAGGGTAGGGGCGTCTTTTAAGCCCTTTTATCATGATTATTGTTCTCCTCCTCCTCCCCCTCCTCCTTCTCCTTCTCCTTCTTCCCCCTGCTCCTCCTTCCTATGATTGTTCTTCTCCTTCTCCTTCTCCTTATTACTATTGCTCCTTCTTCTTATTCTCCTCCTCCTCCTCATTCTCCTTCTCCTTCCCCTTCTTCCCCCTGCCCCCAGGCAGGTGGGCAGGCGGCGCGCCCCGGGCTCGGCCGGCAGGCTCCGGGGCTCGCTGGCCGCGGAGGCCAACGAGGCGCTGCCCTGCGGCCTGACGCCCGTGGAGGCCGCCCGTCCCCGCGGGGGGGCGCGCGCCCACGGGCGCGGGCTTCTTTTGGTTTGGGGAGGGGAGGAGGAGGAGGAGGAGGGGGAGGAGGAGGAGGAGGAGGAGGAGGAGGAGGAGGAGGAGGAGGAGGAGGAGGGAGGAGGAGGAGGAGGAGAGGAGGAGGGCGGAGGATGTAGGATAGAGGATGGAGGGGGGAAAAAGGGGGGGGGGGGGAGGAGGAGGAGGAGGAGGAGGGAGGAGGAGGAGGAGGGAAGGAGGGAGGGAGGGAGGGAGGGAGGGAGGGAGGGAGGGAGGGAGGGAGGGCGGGAGGGAGGGAGGAGGAGGAGGAGGAGGAGGAGGAGGAGGAGGAGGAGGAGGAGGAGGAGGAGGAGGAGGGAGGGAGGAGGGAAGGAGGAGGAGGAGGAGGAGGAGGGAGGAGGAGGAGGAGGAGAGGAGGGGAGGGAGGAGGAGGAGGAGAGGAGGAGGAGGAGGAGGAGGAGGAGGAGGAGGAGGAGGAGGAGGAGAGGAGGAGGCGGAGGAGGAGGAGGAGGAGGAGGTCTGGCGTCTGCATTAGTTTCCGACGGCTGTCGAAGGCGGCCCCTGCTCATGCTGAGCATCCGGTGCTATCTACGTGGCGGGAGGGCGGGCGGAGGGAGGGAGAAGGGAGGACCACCCAATGATCACCCCAGGCCGACTCTGTCGGGAGACGCTGCTTCTGCCTCTGGCGAGCCCCAGCCGAGTGGCCGTCCTTCAGCAGGAAGGGTCGCGGCCCCCGACGGTGGAGGATTGCAGCCCTGCGGGCCGCTCCAGGGGTGAGCTCCGCAGACGGCCCGAAGGTGCGCGGGGAGGCGGCCCCCCGAGGCTGCTCCAAGACCCAAGACGTTCCCCGACGCTTGCGCTCCTCTTTTGTCGTCTCCTCTCAGGAGCGACAGAAAGACGCACAGTCGGCCCGGATTAGTAGGTCGACCCTGCCAAATCAAGGGTACCCTAGTGTCCTGTGTCTCGCGGCCCGTGCCTCCCGCATTCCCACGGCAGTGTGGTCTTCGGAAGGGTCTTTGTCTTCTCGCGTGTCCTGTCCAATGAAGTCCGACTGCACACGTACATGAATCCACGTTGGTTTCGAGAGCATGCATTGCGCGTATGTTCGTATCACGCGGACGGTCTGCCGGATCGAGGGGCCGTGTTCATGTACATGGTTCGGCGCGTATGTCCTTTGTGGGCTCCCTGTCCTCCCCCTACGGTAGGTTCGTGTCGCGTCGACGCCTCGACGACGCCAGCGCGGGCGTTCAAGGTTGAACGCCGCCCGTGGCCCAGAATCGGCTAGCATGGAACGGTCTGGCGATCGAAGAGCCCCAGATTTGTAGTGTCAGAAGCCAACGTCGGGGTCGTCACGACGCGAGCCTGCCGTATCTTCCCCTCCCGCTCTTTCTTCTTCCTCCTCCCGAGGCTGCCAGTTTCGGGCCAGAGTCGGCTGGCTTTTCGGCGCCGCCTAATGTCTGGATGTCGCCTTTGCGTTGCTTTCTTTCTCGGACCATCCTGTCAATCGTTTATCGAGTGTTACTCTTTCTTGCCATCGGTCCGTCGACGATGTAAAAAAACTGTTCCACGCAGGCCCTGAGTTGTGACTCCAAGATGGCGCCAAGACAGTCCCCGATATCCAAAATGATTCCAGCTAGGCCCCGAGGCGGCTCCACGATGGCTCTGAGGCACCTCGCAGATGCAGCCCCGCGCACCTATTTTGCAAGAGGTTTGCCACCGATGTGAGCATTTCGCTCCAGAGTGGCACCCTGAAACGATGATCGGGCCAATGATGCTGCTCTGGGGTTGGCACCCAAGTCTTCCAACGTTTATGCTAATTCGTGGCAGGTGTGCAATGCCTACGCGTTTATGCTAATTCCTGGCAGGTGTGCAATGCCTACGCGTTTGTGCTAATTCGTGGCAGGTGTGCAATGCCTGCGCGTCCCACTTCAATGTCACCTCATCATCTTCCACGGGGTCTTCATCGCACGGCCGAAAAGTCATTCCCAGGTGCTGATGCAGCCTCTGCCGCTAGCCCCGCAAGTGATCCAACACATCTACTAACCATTGGCAGGTCGGCCAGGGCCAGCCAGAGCCTGGCACGACGATCCGATCTCGATCCGATGCTCCAGAAAACCTATCTCGAGTGCGTCCTGTCATTCGGCGGCGCGCCGAGGGGGGCAGCGAGAGGGGGCAAGCCTTCTCAGAAGGCGGCGGGGCTTCTCAGAAGTCCTCCGGGACTGGGGAGCCGCATGCGTGCAGCTGTGTGTCTGGGCGCGCACGTCCCTTATGTTCCCGGCGATGTGGCCGATCTGCGCTGCGCGCCCTGCGGTGTCGCTGCTCTCCGCTGCCCCCCGCCTATCTTGGGGGCGTCACAGAGGGGCGGTGGTGAGGGCTGCGGCCGGCGTCGGAACTAACCATGGTGTGCGACGACGTGACGCCGCCGGTCCACTTACTACGCGCAGCGTCAGGGGGGGCGTCAGGGGCATCACTACACCAGAGAAAAGCCCCAATCTGTGGATGGTTTTCGCTGAGGAGATCGACCGGGAGCCCGGGAGCCCGGGAACCCAGAACCCACCGAAATCGGCCTGGAACCAATGACCGGGAACCCAGGAACCCGGAACCGGGAACCTGGGAACCCAGCCTGCTACCAAAGTCGGCGGGAATTCTCGCCAAATTTTCCATTTTTCGTTAGGACCCCCTCAGTGCAAGCACTGCTTGGGGAAGAAGGGGGCGAATAGGCCAGGGGGACGTATCGACCCCTCAGCGCCCTTTGAGAGCCGACGTGGGGGGGCCGCACTGGCCCCCACGGCGGGCTGGCTGTCGGGGGCCTGTCGCAGAGGCATCGGCCGACTCCGGCTCGGAGCCGGTCCTCCACTGGCGGTCCTCTTCTCCAAGAGAGAGAGGGTCAGGAGGGAAAAAGAACACACAGGCACAATTCATCGGGGACTCCCCCATCAAATATGGGAAAAATGGGAAGTGGGGGGGAAGACAAGAACCCAGAAAAAAATTGGAGAATGTGGGGAATCCTGTTACTTGTGTCTATTCAATTGTGTGTCCCAGGGCCTCTTCAAGAAAGAGGGGCTGGGGCCATGAAATCTCCCAGACTTCATCACTGGCCGCGGCTGCACCATAGTTCGAGTCTGTCATGGTCGACCCGCGTTTGGCGTGGCGACTGGAAGTAGGTGCGATCGATTTGCCAGAGTCTTCATGGACGGCCTCTCCGAGTGAGACCCTCCCAGTGTTTGGCCTGTGCGCCGCGTCAAAAAAAAACAAATCTAATCTCCCAGAGTTCGTGGCCCCCTGTGCGATTTCAGCACGTCCCCTGCCCCCCCCCATCCTCTTCGTCCGTGCACATTCGTCGGGCCATGATGCGCTAGCCCCCCTCTTCCACGCCCCCCTCTTGGACGACCCTCCTGCAAGCTTGTGGCAGGCGGGAAGGCAAGCGTCAGTGACTCCCCTTTGTTGTTGGAAGGATGTTTGCCGCTTGGAAGGTTCTGTGGCCACTCGGAGCCGTCTTCGGGCGGCCTCTGGGGGCCGTCTCTGCGGGGCCGGAGGCGATCCTGTGTCATCGTCACCCGGCTCGTCGTGGGTCCCGGGTTCCTTTCTCTCTCTCTCTCTCTCTCTCCCCTATGTGTCCTGCAGTAGTGCACAGCCATTTTGGCTTGGGAGGCGACTCTCCCCTTTGAGTCGCCGAGAGTACGAGTGCGCGTGCATAAAGTATCCTCCGCCCTCTCTCTTACACTCCTTTACTCTCAGAGCCCCCTTTATCCTGTGACAGTGGTAAGCGGAGCCTCTGGTTGTGAGGCAGAGAGCAGAGAGGAGCGGACGTGCCGAGGGCAGCGCGTGCCAGGCTCCTGGCGCGAGAAGTTGGAGATAGCAACTCGCCGCCGACATGCCGGCGGATGACGACGATTTCGAGGAGGTTGGCAGCGTCTCGGACAGAGCGCGCTCCATCGGCATCCAGGTGCAAGGTGGCACCCGCTGGCGGGAGCGCGACGGCTGGAGTTGGGGCTCTGGCTGGCGAGACACGTGGAGGACGTGGTGGACAGGGTCTGCCGCGGTCGGCGACGTAGCAGGCGAGTCGTGGGACGAGGAGTGGGACTCTCAGGAGTGGAAGACCTCGTCCTGGCGCCCAGGGCGAAGCCGAGATTTTGGACCTCCTCCGAACTGGCTCGGACTAGAGCACCTTGAGTTGTACAGTAGTAATGTGCGCGCCTGGTCTAGTCGGACCGGGCACCAGCTGGAGTCCCAGGCGTCGAGGCTGGTCGAGTCCCTCCCCGTCGACCTCCAGCTCAAGTTCAAGCCCGTGCGTGACGCCCTGGAGCAGGAGGGAGGAGTCGAGACCTTCCTCGACCATCTGAGCATCCTCAACGGAGAGCGGCCCCGGCGACCGCGACAGGATGGCGCACAATCGTGCCCTCTTTGACTACATGATCCAGCGCAATGAGAGCATCACGGATTTCGTTCTGCGTCGCGACGCCCAGTTGGCCGATGCTGCCGCACGTGGACTGACGCTTCCTGACAATGTGCTCGCCCGGTACCTCGAGGAGGGCGCCAACTTGTCGGCGCAGAATAAGATCAACATGCGCACGCTGGCAGGTGGCAAGTCCGACAAGGCATCGATCAGATCTGCGTTGCTCCTTTTGGACGTTCAAGAGAAGCGAGTTCTTCCCGCGAACCCTGTGGCGGTACCGAATTCTTTCCTTCAGGAAGATGCAGCGTCTTCCTCGGCGAGTGTTCCTCCTCCGCCTGAGGTGTACTATGACGACGACGATGAGATCGAGCTCCCGGAAGATGAAGCTTTGGCCTTTCTGACGGCGGTGGAGGAGCAGGACATGGGCGAGCATGAGGCAGTCGAAGTGTTCGCGGCGGTCGTGGAGGAGAAGTTCGGTAAGGAGCGCCGCAGGACGTGGACCGAGTCACGGAAGCTCAAGCTGGCCAAGAAGACAGATCGTGAGTTCTTTGATCGACGGAAGAGTTCGAGGCCCGCCCGTCCAGGA